ATAAGCAATATTATAAAGGAAATGATAGATATAAAATAAAATTTTATTTGCTGAAGAAGAATTAAAGAGAGAAAGAGGAGGAAATCTCCTTTGCCTAGAGAGAAGGTAACCATAATTGGTCATTAAAAGGAAAGGATTAAATTGAGTTCTCGTTAATGAAAGGCAGCACTTCTATATAGAATAATAGCAGCTAATACATTAAGAAGATGGACATAATTAGAAAAATCAGTATTTTACAACTCCAAAAGAATAATTCTTTTAGGCAAGGATAATTAATGGATGCTAAAAATGTAAAGTAGGGAAAAATTGTCCTCAGGGGGACAGAGTCTGACCCCATAGATTGTTATTCAATGAAAAGGGAGAACTATATCCTTACAATGAAGATATCTAGTGATCACCAGTACAATTAAATCACCAAACTTGACATTACTAAAAGTTGGAAAGCTGAACATTTTGTGCCTCTTGATATGTAGCAATCTCTGGCACGTGATAAACCCTCATTTAATATTTACTGTGTGAATGAATAATTTTTCTGACAAAACAGTTTCTAGAATCTTTCAAGTCATATTGCTTACACAATTACAAAATAATAGACTATCCTCTTGCCTTCCCAAGGCCAAGGAATTCTTGGCATACCTTTCCAAAGGGTGTCACATACACATTTCTTCTTCAAGTTTGGTCTGTCATAGCCTCTTTAGAATAATATGTAAAGATGGAAACATAAAAACTTCGAGAATTTTTTAAAAGGCAAAATTATTTTTAATACATTTTTCCTAAGCATGATCATTTAAATTCTGACTACATTCATAGTCCCCTTTTTACTGAATTGCCAACTCGGTTTGCATGTGGTTTAAGTACGTCATGTTCTTTTAGTCTAACCACAGTTAGCTTGAGCCATTGTCATACAATAGAATTTATCAGTATAATTTTCAGCAAATATTGTAAAGTCTTAGAAAACATGCAAAATAATGGTTTCAAAATGGATATATTGGTTTTGCCAGAAAGAAACCCTACAACCTTACTCGTGCCCACACTATGGGCACAAAACATTCACATTTGTTCATGTATGTGGCCTCAGTGGGCAGACAAGGCAGCCAGACTCCATAACAGTCCTGGAAAATGTTAATATAACAGGAGACTGAGAAGTATAGCAAACAGCTGCATCTTTTTGGTTGGTTTATTTTTTTAAAAAAATAACAAGAATATGAATATATCTGCCAGTCAGGCAGTTTTATTTCCATGATAAGGCTGAAGATTTTAAAAGCATATAGTTCAGTTTTGTTTTTATAATGTCAAGAAATTTATGTAAAATTATATTGATATAAAACATGGGAAGAGCTACCACACTGCTGAAAATGAATTCAGAGCATGATGCTAATCAAATTAAAGGACTACACCAAAGGGAATAGACCCATTGAAAATAGACAGTGGAATAAATTGATACCACTTTGGTAAGCCCATCATTGTATGTGCAAAAAGCAAGAGTTATAAAGAGATTCTGTGAAAATACATTCTCTAAGTTGAGAGAACTTCAAATGAAAATGTTACACTTAGATTTAGAATTTGAGCATGTATTTTGCAAGTGTGAGGTTTAAAAAGGAATGTTTTGTGTTGGGAGAGATTTTTGGTTTGTTGAAAGAGGAGTAAGCAAAAACTATTGTTGAAGTTCCTTTTAACCAGCATTCATGGGTGTGTTAGCATGCCCTAAGTGTAGTGGGCAACATATGATTCCATCTGTCAAGGAGATTATATGGTAATTGGGGAGATGGGAAGCACATGCATGACTGCAAGTTAGAGCAACGTGGTATGAGTGCCAGGAAAAGGGAGCAAAAAATTTAAAAGAAGCTCCAAGGAGTGGGAAGCCAGAGGATTTGTGGGAAAAGTTTTGTTATAGACTGCAAGTGATGGATTGTTATTGTAAAATATGGGGATGGCATGGGCAAGGCTTATGGTTGAAAAGTGCACAAAGGAAGAAGAGTTTTGGTGGTCTGTAAATCAACTAGTGTCTCTCTGTGTTCACATGGAATCCCTGGGCACATCTGTTGCAGCATTTTCATAGATTATAATGGTCTCTTCATTCCCCTCTTAGAAAATTAGACTTTAGTTTCCTAAAGGACATTTAAAATATAGTCAGTCCTCATTTTTTGTGAATTCTGTGTCGATGGATTCATACATAACACCAAACAGTATATCGTTTTTGCTGTCATTCATATACACGTGCAGAGCAGTGAAAAATTTTGAGTTGTCTGATGCACTGTTCTCATCTGAGGTCAAAAAGGATGATGCTCTGCCCTTTTGTTTCAGCTCTCACAACTGCGAGCAAGCCATCTGTTTGGCCGTCCATTTATTGCCATGTTTTTCGCAGTTTGGTGTTTTGGGTTGGTGCTTTTGCTGTTTAAAGCTACTCCTAAGCACAGTGCTGAAATGCTGCCCCATGTTCCTAAGTACAAAAGGCTGGGATGGGCCTAAGGGGAAAATTCGTGTGTTAGATGCTCTTCGTTCAGGCATGAGTTATAGAGCTGTTGGTCATGTGTTCCATGTTATAGATTCAACAGCATATATCAAACAAGATGTCTTTAAACAGAAACACATATGAAACAAGGTTGTATATTGATCAGTTGACAAAAATATTCTGACCAGAGACTCACAGGAACACAATTTTTATTTCTCGTTCGGTATTTGTTTATCTAGTGTTTCTCGTGACTCGATAGACCATAACTCCTACTAGTAATGAGAATTGGCTGTATCTGTTATTCCTGTATGTCTAGTGTTTAGTGTTTAAGTAGATGGTTAAGGAGTTTTATGAGCAATTCCAGCTCCCTGAAACTTTTAAGCATGGGACTCAAAAATTGGGGTTTTAATATCATGTAGGTATGGGAAGCCATTGGAAATGTTTTCTGTTCCCTGGGAGTGATCTTTTGGTGGACAGAATAACTATCCCAAAGACCCGGCTGCTCTGAAGGAGCTGTTGCAGAAGCTCTGAAAGTTTCTTTAGGAAGATTAATTTCATGGAAATTTATCAGATGGATTAAAATGGAGAGTAACGGAAGACACAAAATCACATTATGCAACCATTGCAGCAGTCTTGACGTGAGGTAGTAAAGACCAGAGTGAGGGTCCTGGCATGGGGGAGGGGAAACAGGAGCATATCCTCAAGTTGTGGTGAAGTAGAAATAAGCAGGCAGTGACTTAATGCAGAGGATGAGGGAGATGGCAGGGATAAAGGTAAACCCTGAAATTTGCTGCCCCTGACTTTGTTAGTTCCTATATTTGCAAATGTTTTTCAGTCTTCTTTTAAGACACAATACTCATCCATTACAACTGAGCATGATGAATTATCTGGTGTTTAGGGTGAAGGTGAGGAACGATAGATCTAGTTTTACAATTAATAGTGAGTTTTTACAGTTAATTGTGAAATTATCAGGTAAGGGGTGTCAGGATTGAATGATCCTTTAAAAAAAAACTGTGCCATCCTTATGTGTGCCATCCTAATGACTTCCATTCTAATGACAAGTTATGTCCAGTTGGCAGTGTGTAGTTAAATATCACTAATGCTAAATTTGTGATCTGTGAGAAGAATGGGCGGATTATTATTCACTGTTGTTCATCATGAAATTCTGTGTGAAAGAATACATAGAGATTCAGGAATCAGCATGAATTATATTGTCAGTAGCATATATTAATCAGAAAACTTTTTAATTTAAATTTAAAAGCAAATTGTTCATTTTAAAGTGTCCAGTTTGTTTATTTAGAGTTACCATAAATTGAGAAATAAAACTTTGTTTTCTCTTAGCATGATATTGACAGAAAGCTTTAGGTCTGAAAAACTATTTAGCTAAGTTTTGCTTTAAAATCCTTTCTCTGTGCACTATTTTCTTATTAGAAGTAATATTTTGAGAGACAGTTTATATCTTACTACAGTCTAGTTTGCATCACCAATTTTATAAGGTTATGCAAAACTGATATCCTACTTAGAACTTTTGGAATAATACATCCCCCACCCCCACCCTGGCAAACTCATCCCAAATAATCAAGAAATGTTTTCATGTCTATTTTTAAGGAAGAATTTGGATGATATTTTAAGCTAGTGGTATTTATTTTATCTATGGCTAAATACTACATGTGTTTAATTCAACTTGAGATTTAAAAAATCAAACAAATTTTGATGCTCTTTATCTTTTTCATCTGCTTTGAGTTTAATATACCTTTCTGAACAAAGCCATGTTTGTGAAGTTTATTAAGTTTTGTTTGGCCTTCTCCACTGCAAGCACTCAGTGGACCTTACTGTGAGGTTATGCCCTGGACTGATTGATATATAAACAGAAGACAGATGGTGCAGAGATGGCTCTGATGATAATTCATTTTTCAGCTAGTCATGAAGATATTTTGATTACAGTGTGTTTAAGTAATTATAACACCGTCTGCAATGTTAGTCTTGCTGGGAAGGGTGCACATGGAAAACAAGTTACGTGTTATTCATGCCCAACAAAGGATGCACTGTGGCATAATGATTTTAATTCCTAATGCTAGATTAGGGCTGAAAGAGTTTAAAATATGTCATACAGTAAGGTAAGTCAATTAAACATAGACCAAATAAAAAAGGTAACTGCACAGTTTTGAGGCATAAATATTTGTTTTGGAAAGTATTTAGATGTTACTATATGAAAGAAACCAGTATTTTTACATTTAGGTAACAGTCTGTATACAGCTAATTAAAAAAATTATGTGACTTGATTTTTAGTTTATGTGAATCATAATTATCATGCAGCTTGCTTTCTGTGTTATGAATTTAAAACTGAAATCAGAGGGGCTGACGATTCAACAGCATGTTTTATCCCTGCTGTAGTTGAAGTTTTGCAAAAAACAAACAACAAAAAAGTTTAAGCAAAATGTCAAAGGGAGAAAAAATAATCAGAATTGTTTGAATAGATGGGTCATTTACATTTTTATTTTTCACTTACTAATTGCAGTTTTTACCACGATTTTGGGTTCCACAATAGGATAATTTATCGCTTAGATGGAGTTCGTTTGTTGTGGTCCCTGCTGAAAAATCCTCACCCTGATGTGAAGGCCAGCGCAGCATGGGCCCTCTGTCCATGCATTGAAAATGCAAAGGTAAGTCTAAACTGCAAGTCAATCCATTCTGGAATCTTTGATACTATATTGAATAATGCCACTTCAGGTTACTGATTGGTTTTGACTTATTTTTGGCCACATTTGTCTGGTGGGAAGAGTGCTAACAATGTTTATGCCAAAGTAATTTCTGAGCAATGCCTTTTCTTGGTCAGTTTTAAAATGTGAAGCAAAAGTGGCCTAAGATGGCAGTGCTTACCAAGTTCTAGTTGGTTGGTGTAATTCAAACAAGCACTCAGATGAATCAGAGCAAAGGAAAGTTGACTGTTCTTATCTCTTGGGAGATAAGAAAATTATCTGCATTTGCCTGCTACATACAGAGAGTGCAGGCATGTGGGAAGCATGACTCCGTCTATGATAGTTATAGCCTGCAGTGAAGGATCATTATGTTCCTACCGTGGAAAGGTCACATAATTACCCTGGGTATCACTTTTCTTACCTGTCACTAACAACTGGATGAGAAGCTTCTGAATTCTACTTTAGCTCTTCATTTGTAAATTTAATTATTTTCTCTAAGGTTCTCTTCTCAGCCTATTTCTCTTAACTTTTTTCTTTTTTCTTTTTTTTTTTTTTTACAGATTTTAATATTTCCCTTTAAATTCCTTACTGTAAAACCTACTTCTTTATTGAATATTTTTATCTAAAAGATGTTATTTCTATAATAAATTTAAATGACTCTAAGTGCCATTCTAAATATATTTTTTACAAAGGGAATTGTGATGTATGATAGGAGAAGAGAGACCTATTACAAGTTTTTAATAGAACCAATTTTTGGCAAAAAAAGTGTAAAGTTTTCAAATAATTTACAGGAAAATGAAAAATGGGTTGGTAATTTATTTAGAACACATCCTATAAGGCTGCAGTAAAAACCATTTTCCAGCAAAGTACTCATTAATATAGATAAGTCTCAAGCATATTGAGCAAAATAAAAACAAATTGCAGAAGTAGATAATACAATATGATTCCTATTAAAGTTCAAAGAATTTTTTAAAAATGCAACATTTAAATGAAGTTGTTTAGGAGCAAGAAAGAAGCCTATTGGGGAAAGATTGACATACATTCTTGAAGGATAATCCTCATTAGTTATTTCAACTAATCAGCTCAGCTCTTCATTCATAATTATGAACAATCAAGAATTATTAAATATTTAAAGAATATCAGTGATATTAAATAGATAAGCCAAGATTAATAAGCAGAACTAACCTCAGAAGAAACATAAATAATATAAGGGACAGAATATAACATTACATTTTAAAAGTTAATATCCTCAGAAAGACATGAGTCCAAAAAAACTGGAAAAAAATTCATAAATTTTAAAATGTTTCTTGGAAATTGAAAATGTTTTGGAAAGATAGTAAATTTGGTAGAATAGATGAATACTTAGATGACTATTATTGAATAATTATCTAGAAGATAAAGTTTAGTAAATAGCTAAGAATGTAAAGTAAAAAGAAAATAGGATGTGAAAACACACAGCAAGAAAGAGAGTAATTGAAAGGAAATAATAGTCTCACTTATTTTAAAAAAGGATAAACTTTTATAAGCTGAATTACTGAAGAAAGACTCATGTTCAGGATGAAAATATCCACTTAGTGTCAAGCAAGAAAAAGGAAAAAAAAATATCTATACCTATGTATAAAAACATCTTATTTGGTGTTTTCAGAAATTAAAGGAAGGAAAAAAAGTTACAAAAGAGCAAGAATCACACCAGCATTAGGCTTAACATCATTCACAATAAGTTCTAAAATAAAATGAAACAACGCCTGTCCTGCATGTGGAGGAAAATATTTTTTGTTCTGGAATTTTATATTCTACAAAACTAGCATTCAAGTATGCATATATCTTCCCATGAATCTTTTCTGGAAAAAAAATTACATTATAATATTTTCCAGCAAAACAAAAGATCCTAAGAAAAAAACGAACATGAATTATTTTAAAAAGAGTAAATACATCATTATAATTCTTAACTAAATGTAAATTTGTGTTGAAAATATGGCTTTCAAATTTGATTAAATGATTAAGAAAGAATTCCTTTAAAAGTAATATAAAATTTTTAAAAAATAGGGTTTTTACCTATCTGTTTACCTGTCTGTAAACTACAGGATGACTTAAAAAAACTTAGGAGGTAATAGATAAAAGCGTGATAAAGTTCTTTTTCTTTTCTAGGAAAGAATGTTATAGATGCTGATTAATTTTCAATGTCGTTGAAAATATAAATTTAAATGTAGAATTTAATGTTAGCATTGGTGAGATACCATTTTAATAAATAATATTTCTACTTAATGCTGTTATTATGTATAAATTGTGTCCTGTCATCTTATGTGCTTCAACTTCATATCTGCCTATTTATCTATTATTGGATTTAAGAGATATCCAGTATTTCCATATTCATTATTCTTGCATAGGCTTTCTGTCCTGAATATCTCACTGGTCTCTCATGCTAGCAGCCCAAAATGAACCACACTCAAACTTTAAACACCACCCAGCCTATGTCTGTCTTTGTCTTTGGTCCCAAGGCCTAGACTAGATCCAAAGCTGCAAAAGATCTTCTCGTTCCGTTGTTCTTGAACTTCACCTACCCTCTGCACACCCTCTTTCTTCTCAAGTAGAAACCTCAGCCCTCTCCATACTTATATGAAGGGAAAGACAGATTCCTGAAGAGGAGATCTCTGCTTGTTCCTGTCTTTCACCAAGAACTATACTCTCCTGTAAGTGTTTATCATTGAGTTAACTTGAACATTTGAAGAGTCGTCAGCAAGGAAGAGACATGAGCAGTATGGCTAACTATAAAATGTATGATTGAGTGGGTAACAGAAATTGGTGAGTGTTTGGATATTAGCTGTGAGGAAGAGGTCAAAATTTTTAATTTTGTTGTTGTTGTTGCTGTTGATAATGTTGACAACATGATGGAACCTTTACCATATATGGGAAGAACATACTTTTGAGAAAAGATGATGGTATTGCTTTCATTCAGATGTCAAAAGATAATTCTGGATTGGAGATACACATATGGGGGCCATCAGCATGTGGGAGGTAGTCAAGGTCTGGAGAGCAGATAAAAAGGAGAGGGAGTAGAATGAGAGGAGACCACCAATGACAGAGCAAAGTCAATAAGGAAGGCAGAGGAGGGATGGGATAGCAGGAGAGTATGATTACCAGAAAGCAAAAAAAGAGACAAATCAAGACTGAGGAGGAGTGTTCAACAGTATCAGTTGCCCCAAGACAATTCCCCCTGAAGTGTACCTTAAATATGGTAATTAGGTAGTCACAGCCATAGCCCTTTCCATTGAGAGCTGACAGTTTAAACTGGATTACACCAGAATGATAAATGAATCAGGGGAAGGAAATAGAGAAGAAGAGGATTAATAGTTCTTTCTAGAAGCTCAACTGCTAAGAGAAGGAGATGATATTTAGAAAATAGCTAGGATTAGAAAATGATTAATATGGAAGAGATGTGTGAGAGACAGAGGAAGAAAGAAAGACTTGGCTCTCACTGTTCTTAATCTTACAGGCACAGTACTCTGAGTACTGTAAAAGATTTTTGGAGTGCCCAGCAAAAGGATGATTCTAGAATGCATAACTTCTGGAAAAAATTCTGAAAGCTGCAACTCATTTCATTCAGGCAACAAACACACGGATTATCTAATCTTTCTATCATATACCTATCTTCAACATCGTCATCATCTATCACCTATCTATATCTTTGAATATGAATTCAGAAGTGAGAAAGTTATCAAAGGGATCTGAATTAATAGTACCCTCTGTGAGTGTAGAAAATTGAAGTCAGATTATGAATTTGGCTGGTTATTTCTACAATGAGGACTGACTTTTCTGACTAACATACAACACAAAAATTCGCTTAATTCTTGAAACATAAGAAAGAAGATATTTCCATAAACTGAATTAACTAAATATGCAGGGCCAAAACTTAGATGATATATATAGTATCATAAAGTACATATTTTGTGACTAAATTTATGGTGAACATTTTTAGATGTCAACTCAAAATAGATGAGGGAGGATATGCAGCTTTTCAGAAATGTACTGAGATATGTGGGCAAAATTTTGAAAAACATTGGTCTCCTACACCAGGTACCCTTGAAATGAACAAGAGGAAAATTGAAAACTTTTTTTTTTTAAGAAAATAGCCTGATTTTCAAGATTCTTGTCATTTAAAAAGAATCCTATTTTCCAAGGTCAGAAGCTGAATATTATATTGGTCTTTCTCCTTGCATCCATCTACAACAAAACTAATTTTCCCAAGGCAGAAGGATCCTTCAGGAGTAGAATATGAAAGAGGTCATGGACTCAGAAAGGCAAAGGGGAAAGAAAGCACATTTGCAATATTTAAAAACAGCATCTCATTATTTATGCAGATCCTAATCAAACTATAGTCTACCGCAGCTCTATTTAATAGAACTCTGTGTGACATAAAAGTGGGTTGTTCAAATATGGCAACTACTAGCTACATGTCACTACTAAGCATTTAAAATATGATTAGTATGACTGATGAACTGAATTTTTGGTTATATTAGGTTTCAATTAAAATTTAAATAGTTTTACATGTGACTAGTGGCTATTGTTTTGGTTGCCCAAGTTTAAGACATGCAAATAATAGAGTTGGTTTTGCAAGGTACCAGCTATAAAGGGTTGTAAAACCTCAAGAATTAAGTGAATTTTCGTGTGGTTGTATGTTCATTGTATAAATTTTAGACACTAAAGAAAAGCAAGGGAAAAAAAGCACTGGTAATTTCAGCACTCAGATATAATGGCAATTCAGAGCTAACAGTTTTTTCTTTTCTTAGCAATGAATTGTGAATCTCTCTCTGGTTCTGTATATATGTCTTTCCATATTCCTGTCATATTTTCTTTGGCAGTATAGTATTATATTGTACAGCTATATCATAATTTACTTATGCGGTTAAGTTTAAAAAACAGTGAGGTTAAGTGAAACAAAATTTTAGTTTGAGCCATTCTAGAGC